GTTTGTTCTCCGAACCGGCAGCAGCTGCTGCTACTGGACTGAAGCGAGCTGACACCGAACCGAACCCGGTGAGTCTCTGATATGGACGGGTCAGCCAGCTGACGCGTTTACCTCCTGGTATCACGTGGTGTTTGTTTGTTTAGCCGTTAGCCGAACCGGCTAACGGCTGTTAGCATGGAGCTAACGGATTGATCAGGGTTCTGACCCGGAGCCCTCAGCTCCCACGGGCTCTGTCCGGGTTTCAGAGTTCGGCCCGGTTCATTCCCTCTCTCTGTCCCCAGCACGAACCGAACCGAGTGACCCATGGCCTCCCAGAACATGGACCCCGCAGCGGCCGCAGCGTCCTCCGCGGCCGCCCTGAAGGGCAGCGAAAGCGGCAGCAGCGCGGCCAGAGGCTCGGTGACCAAACGGTGAGTCCCGAACCTCCACAGAGTCCCGAACCTCCACAGAGTCCCGAACCTCCACAGAGTCCCGAACCTCCACAGAGTCCCGAACCTCCACAGAGTCCCGAACCTCCACAGTCGGTCCAATAACAGCGAGCGTAACTTGTTACCATGGTAACGGAGGCACATGACCCGCAGCAGACCCAGCAGCTCTAATTTCCGGTCCGGAACTTTTGGTTCCTCTGGGTTCAGGTTCACAAAACAGATAACAGTCCAAACACAGGAGCCCCACAGGGGCCTGGTCCCTTCCACTGACCTCTGACCTCTACAGAAACGCTCAGATTACTGTGCAGTTGGTTTATGGAGCATCACTTCGGGTCATGGAGGGAACAATCAAATCATCTTACATGTGAACAAAACAACAGAGGTGAACAGGGTCAAAGGTCAAAGCCCGTTTCCATGGTGGGGGAGGAAGTGGAGGAAGATGAAACGTTGAGCTGCAGCAGAAAGTCAGTTTTTCTGAATGTGTCTCTCTGTCCTCAGGCTGCAGCAGGAGCTGATGACCTCATGGTGAGTCCATTTTCCCTGTTGCCATAGTGAACCCAGAGTGGACCGCCGGATTACTCTGGTCAGAACCAGAACTTCAGACATGAAGAGCTTTCTGAACACCATCTGGACCGCTGGATGACATCATCAGAACTCTTGGTTCTGGTGGGGGAAACCAGCAGAACCAAGAGTTCTGAGAGTTCAGCTGGTTCCAGTACCAGAACCATCGAATAAGACGCAGGAACTGAGTTCTTCCTGCTGTCACCAGATAATCCAGAACCATTTCATTCCTCTGTGATTCATTAAGACACTAAAGGCCCAGCAGAGCCGACCCAATTGGGCCCAGCAGAACCAACCTGGACCACAGCTTCACTCTGAGCATGCTCAGACTCATCTGTGGTCACATGATCGTTTATTACGTTGTATTAAGCGATCATGTGACCTCTGACCTGATTCGTGTGACCTCTGTGTGACCTCATGCTGCAGATGTCGGGTGATAAGGGCATCTCGGCGTTTCCAGATCCGATAATCTCTTCAAATGGATCGGAACCATCGATGGAGCTCAGGGGACGGTGCGTACTCCCCTGTCTCTGCGTTTATGGTTCCTCTGACCCGGTTCTGACCCGGTTCTAACTCCAGGTGTACGAGGGGCTGCGGTACCGGCTGTCCCTGGACTTCCCGGCCGGCTACCCGTACCAGGCTCCCCGGGTCCGGTTCGTGACGCCGTGTTTCCACCCCAACGTGGACGATCAGGGCGCCATCTGCCTGGACATCCTGAAGGACAAGTGGTCGGCTCTGTACGACGTCCGGTCCATCCTGCTGTCTGTCCAGAGCCTGCTGGGAGGTACCGGAACCGCCCGAACCGGTTCCGTTTGCCCTCCACCGGGTCGCTAACTTGCTGTCTCTCTCCAGAACCCAACAATGAGAGTCCTCTGAACACGGCCGCCGCAGAACTGTGGGAGAACCAGGACGGTAAGGGAACCAGAACCAGAACCTCAGGCAGTAGCTGGGCGGACCAGTCGTGTTCTGACCCGTTTCTATTCATGGCTCTGATCAGATCAGCTGTTCCTCTGTAGCCAATCAGCGCGCAGGATCTCTGATCAGAGCTGTGATTGGTCAGTCTGCCTTCAGTTCTCTGCTACACTTTTCAGATTTTGGCCCGGTCCGAATCCTCTGTCTCCCCTGCTCATGTTGAAGGTTAAAGGTCACAGTGTGTCCCACATTCTCCTCATCTGCCCATTTTGGGTCCTTTTTTCATGCAAAGTTTGCAGTTTTATGGACTTCTGCGAATGCGTTACCCACAGTTCATTGCAGCATGTGACGCTTTGAGTTAAGAGTCGGATTTATGGCAAAGTTTGGTTGTTTTTTTCCATCTTTATGGACAATTCAAAGAAAATATCATCACAAGGCACATTAGTTATAAAGTTTGATAACTGAGCAGAAAAAGCAGAAATAAATAATCAGAAACTGACAATAAAGAAAAACAAAATGTCACAAATGAAAGACAAATTTCAACTGACAAACTTTACACATAATTATGAAACTAATATCTTAAGTTGGTTGTGTTTTAGTTCCATCAGTCTTCTTGTTTTTCACATCAGGCCTTTTTTATTTTTTATGTTTGTCCTGAACTTGATCTTTATCATTATCTCCACTTCATACCAAACTAACTTTGATCTGCATGAAACAGGCGGTTTTATGGCTCAATATCTCTGAGTCAAATAGGCTGACAAATTCATTATTAGGACATTTTAATATGTAGTTTTGGGAAATATGGCAAAGTTCACAGAGCGAGCGCAAAAATAGAATAAAATCAGTTTTCAAAAGTAAAATATGGAAATATTTTATGTTTTGCTGAACATGAGGGATTATATTTATTTTATTTTAAACAAAACTCATTTCTCCAACCAGCATCTGAACAGGCAGAAAAACCTTCACTGAACATTTAAAATCATCTTTTAGCAGCAGGAATACAGACCAGTCGGCCATTTTGGATTTGAAGTTATGACCTCTGACCCCTGATGTCACAGGGCCCTTTAATTCTCTGAGCTGCCGTTTGTTCTGCAGTGCATGATGGGAGTTGTTGTTTCTGTTGCAGCCTTCCGGGCTCACCTCCACGCCACGTTCCAGCACTGAAGCAGCTTCTCCGTCTGATTGTATCATATTTTTATGTTTGTTTGCCTCTCTGTTAATAAAGAATAAAGTTCTTAATCAACCAGACTCTGTCTATATGGAACCAGACCCGTGAGAGCCACACGCTGCAGAACCAGATCCTGATGGAGCCGTTTTTAGAAACTTAAGTCCATTTCACACGACGCGATGTTAGAAAAGTCGGCCGATTGTGAAAACGTGAGAGATCAAACCCCAGACGATTTCAAACGTAACGGCTCGATCAGAGAGCGTGAAGGGACATGAAATCCCTTCAAATTAAAACTGCATCATCACCACAGCTGAGTTCAGAGTAAACAAACATGGACAATGAAGAGGAAACTTTAGTTTAACCCAAACAGACGGAACCAAAAATCAAAGCTTTGGGTTAAGAACTGGAGACATCGCGAGCATGGATTATATGTGTTGCATCAACATGGAGGAGAGTTTTTTTCATAAAAAAAATACTGTTTTTAATGTTTTCGGTTTTGTCATTTAATTAACCGTTTACGTATAATTTTCAAATGTTTCGAAGTGTTTATATTGTAGAATATATGCATATAACTGAATGACTGAAACATCAGAGCAGCTTAAAGTAGAAGAAAGCATTTCCTCCATATTCATTATTTAAAAAATCAGATGCAGTTATCCTTTTGCCCCCAACTGACCGAAAGCTTAACGTATTCCAGCTCCTTTATTGAAACTTATTGTATTGTTGAAAATTGTACTATGACTTTAGAATAAAATCAAATGCGCCATTTCAACCAAAGATTGGAAAGCGCTTCTCACCCAGATGTGCTCTGTGCAATAATTTTATAATTATCTTTCATTAAAAAAATAACAATCCAATAGCAGCTGCTCCGAATAAGGATCAAGTTTTATTTATGGTTTTATGAGATCTAATTAAGCACATTTCATTCACCAGAGCCGCGGTGAACGCCTCTGCTCCCCGACTGGAGCAGAGGCGTTCACCGACTGGACCCGATCGGTCCTAACCCTCCACCGACTGGACCCGATCGGTCCTAACCCTCCACCGACTGGACCCGATCCGTCCTAACCCTCCACCGACTGGACCCGATCCGTCCTAACCCTCCACCGACTGGACCCGATCCGTCCTAACCCTCCACCGACTGGACCCGATCGGTCCTAACCCTCCACCGACTGGACCCGATCAGTCCTAACCCTCCACCGACTGGACCCGATCCGTCCTAACCCTCCACCGACTGGACCCGATCCGTCCTAACCTCCACCGACTGGACCCGATCCGTCCTAACCCTCCACCGACTGGACCCGATCCGTCCTAACCCTCCACCGACTGGACCCGATCCGTCCTAACCCTCCACCGACTGGACCCGATCCGTCCTAACCCTCCACCGACTGGACCCGATCCGTCCTAACCCTCCACCGACTGGACCCGATCCGTCCTAACCCTCCACCGACTGGACCCGATCCGTCCTAACCCTAACACACCACAGGATTATCGGTTACGATTGAAGCAACAATCTTAGACTCTAAGATTGTCTTAAGGGCAAAATCGAGCCAAAAAACCGTGTAGTGTGAACTGGGCTTTAAACTCATCATAAATCATCACAAAGTGAAATATTTCTGATTGTGGAAGGAAGCCCAACATGCAGCGTCTCAAACTGAAATGTTCAGATCAGTGAAACAGATGTTCTGCTGCAGAATCTTATTGAAGACTAATGGCTCTGATAGATGTGTTAACTCTGGACCCGACAGAACCAGCAGATCACCTGTTGAATCTGAAGGTCGTCTGCTCCTTCAGATTGAATGGATGGGCACTTCTTCCTTCCACTGAACTTTCTGTGCTATAATTTTCACATTATTCTAGTCCTCTGCTACATTCTGGGTCAATATTTCTATAGAAGATTTCTATTGGAGCTCTCGGAACCTGCTGAACCGGGCCTATCCGACCCAGCAGCAGGTTCCCTGGCAGCAGGCGGGCAGCTTGGTGCCACTGGACGACGCCACACCTCCATCAAGTCCTCCAGGCTTTCCTCCGGATCCTCGGCGTCGCTCAGAGCCTCGGCCCACGCCGGCTGGGTCGACTCCCGACCAGAACGCCACCGGGACCTGCAGAACCAGAGAGAGCTGAGCCCGGTTCTGCTGAGCCCGGTTCTGCTCAGGTTCTGGAGGTGGACTCACCCTCTGCTGCAGCTCACCCAGCTGGGCCTCCAGGCCTGCGATGTGATTGGTCAGATCTGGACTGGGTTCTTCTTCCAGAACCAGCCAGGGGACTTGGACCAGCGCCACCGGGCCGCCAGACCCACCGGGCCGTCGGAACATCCTGAGAGGAAACGGCAGAAGAAGAGGAAGCTGAACCCTGCAGGTCACTTCAGGAACAAATGCAGAATTTTTTCAGATTTTATCCAACTTTTTTTTTCTTTTGTAAAAAAGAAATTACAGAAAATATTTTCAAAAAGTGGATTTCATTCAATCACAATATCTGTGAGTTTTAAGACGGATTATTAGTCATAATATTAGCAGAGTATAACTACAGTTTTACCAGAAAAATGTTCTAGTAAAACATTAGATCTTCACTAAGTGGGCTGCACAGTGGCGCAGGTTCTGAGTTCGATTCCCGGCCCGGGTCTTTCTGTTTGCATGTTCTCCCTTGCCTGGTGGGTTCGCTCCGTTCTCCGGTTCCTCCCACAGTCCAAAAACATGACTGTCAGTGTGTGTGTGTGTGTGTGTGTGTGTGTGTGTGTGTGTGTGTGTGTGTGTGTGTGTGTGTGTGTGTGTGTGTGTGTGTGTGTGTCTCTGTGTTGCCCGGCGACCTGTCCACGTGACCCCGCCTCTCACCTGGAACGTTGGCTGGACAGGCAGCTGCTCCTCTCGACCCACTAACCCTAATAATTAATACTAATGTGTTAAAACATGAAGCTTTTCGTTATCTGTAAAACTTATAAGAAGTAAAACTTCACAAGATGCTCAATATTTCTCTTTTTGATTTTTTTGTGTTTAATCTTTGCAATTTTATTCTCGAGTTTAAAAGTGAAATAATCATAAACTAGTCCTAATATTCCATCTTAAAGTCGAACTGAATTCCAATCAAACATTTATCAAACAAGATGGCCGCTCTGGGCGATGACATCACTCTGACCTATGAAGAGAGCATTGGCTGAAACGTTTATTTCCACAAATAAACCTTTAAAACCAAATTCAATTAATTTCTAAAATCAGTTAATTTCCCAGCCAATCAGACGCAGGAGGGCGGAGCCAACAAGTCACCTGTGTTCACCAGTGAGCGTCTGCTGGAGCGCTGGGTCAGGGGGAACTGACCAATCAGATCTTTGGCCCTGCGGAGGTCAGACAGGAAGTTCTCCACTGCAGACAGGAAGAGAACCCACAGTCGCTCTGAAGCATGTCTGTCATCCACGGCAACGGGGGCGGAGTCACAGGCTGACAGCAGGCGCAGCAGGCGGCGAGACAGACCTGCAGAGGGACAGGTGAACCCAGCAGGACAGGTGAACCCAGCAGGACAGGTGAACCCAGCAGGACAGGTGAACCCAGCAGGACAGGTGAACCCAGCAGGACAGGCGTTACCTGAGCAGATCCGGTGAGCCAGCGCTCTCGTCTCGTCCATCTCTTCCCGTAGGAAGCTGCTGTCGGCTGAACTTCCCAGTGACGCTGCCAGTTGCTGGAAGCAGGAAGTGACCCGACTCAGAGCATTCTGAGCGCGCTCACACTCTGCCTGCTGCCGCCGCCGTCCTGCTGTCAGCTCATCCACCGAACGACGCCACCGACTCATGATGGAACACAGCCGATCAGAGCTCAGTGTCGGCCTGAAGGTCATCAGAAGGTCAGCAGGTAACTGGTGAAGCTTTAGTTTGGGTTCAGACGGAAAACACTCCGGTTCTGGTACCGATTGATGGTGATCACCACTGGCGCCTCCAGAAAGTTTTCAAAATGTTGGGGGTGAGGTACAGCTAAAATAATTCTTTAGGGGGCAACTTCACTGCAATGGGGGCCGAGGCCCCCCATCCTATAGGGGCGCCACTGCTGATCAGTTGACATTTAACTGCCAGGCGGCGGCATAGAGCAGTCCGAGCCTCAGAACCTGCAGGCCTACTGTCTTCACATTTCCCTTCGTTACAATCTGGTTCTGAACAAGCCACTCGGATCCAGAACACAGGACAAGAGGACAAGACAGGACAAGAGGACAAGACAGGACAAGAGGACAAGACAGAACAATGGGACAACAAGACAGGACAAAACAAGACAGGACAAGACAGGACAAGAGGACAAGACAGAACAAGAAGACAACACAGGACAAGAGGACAAGACAGAACAATGGGACAACAAGACAGGACAAGAGGACAAGACAGGACAAGACAAGACAGGACAAGAGGACAAGACAGGAGAATGGGACAACAAGACAGGACAAGACAGGACAAGAGGACAAGACAGGACAAAACAAGACAGGACAAGACAGGACAAGACAGGACAAGAGGACAAGACAGAACAATGGGACAACAAGACAAGACAGGACAAGAGGACAAGACAGGACAAGAAGACAACACAGGACAAGAGGACAAGACAGAACAATGGGACAACAACAGGACAAGAGGACAAGACAAGACAGGACAAGAGGACAAGACAGGACAATGGGACAACAAGACAGGACAAAACAAGACAGGACAAGAGGACAAGACAGAACAATGGGACAACAAGACAGGACAAGACAGGACAAGAGGACAAGACAGGACAAGACAACACAGGACAAGAGGACAAGACAGAACAATGGGACAAGAAGACAACACAGGACAAGAGGACAAGACAGAACAATGGGACAACAAGACAGGACAAGAAGACAACACAGGACAAGACAAGACAGGACAAGAGGACAAGACAGGACAAGAGGACAAGACAGGACAAGAAGACAACCATCTGGAGCCTGAGATTTAAAACAAACTGCTGAATGACTCCAGATATTAAAACTCATCCAGAAGTTTTAATATTTGACTAAGCTGATGATGCAGGACGACGGCATGTACAGTACAGAGCAAAAGTTTGGACACAACCTTCTCTTTCAAAGTGTTTCCTTTATTTTCATGACTATTCATAAGGTAAGAAAGCCCAGTTATCAACCTGACAGGTCACACCTGTGAAGTGAAAACCATTTCAGGTGACGACCTCTAGAAGCTCATCAAGACAATGCAGAGGTTGCTGCTTTGAAGAAACTACAATATAAGGTGTATTTTCAGTTGTTTTACACTTTTTTGTTTCGCACATATTTCCACATGGTTTAATTCATAGTTTGATGCCTTCAGTGTGAATCTACAGTGTCAATAGTCATGAAAATAAAGGAAACTCATTGAACAAAAAGGTGTGTCCAAACTTTTGCTCTGTACTGTAGTTTACTTTGCTTCAACATATTTGCACTAATATCAGTATATATCAGTTTAATTGTGAGAAATATAAAAAACACCTTTCATTTCAACCAGATAATGGAGTTAGAGGTTTGAACAGAATAAATCAAAAGGAATATACACTCTAAAAATGTATTTTGGTGCAAAACATTTATAATACAGAGTGGACTGGAAACCAGACAAACTCTTTAAATATGCAATATAAATATAACTGCAAGTGAAACGGACATAACAGGACAATTACAAAGAGTTACAGGAATAATTGTAGCTAATGCATTTAACAAGCTAAATTAATAAATATAACTGAAATTATAAGTTAGAAAAATAGCAGTTAAGTGAAAAGCACATAATTAAGAATGTTACTGAAATATTTGTTTGTCACTGATGGATCAATATAAAAGTTGTTTAATTTACTTCATTAGAATGAATCATGCTGTTACCTCATGAATCGCTCTTCTATTAAATAATTAATATTATTATTAAAGGACATGTTGCGTTTTACCTGAAGCGTCTCACCTGCTGCTGCTCCCACCTTCCTCTGCGGTGGATGCAGGTTTCTGAAATCACCCAGGTTCTGCTGCTCCACAGGGAGCGTTTGTGTTTTTAATTAACTGGCAGAACAGCTGAGACCCCAGAGCCCCGCCCTCCAAGCCTCACCTGTCCAGGTGGAACAGGTGAGGTGACAGAGCGTAAACTCACCCAGTGAGTCACGTTTTCTGTTCCAGCTCAAAGATCACTGATGATGTGTTGGAGGTGGATAGAAGGTGAAAGGTCAGGGGTCAAATGGGGACTGATGGAAAAGCAGAGATGACCAAGACCTTATTAGGAGATAGCTTGTTGAACAACTAAAACATGTCAGAGACATGGGAGGAAGATTGAGCAACCCTGAGACATTAGCCAAGACATCAGGACAAAATGTCTCTAAGACAGTGATGGATATGAGTTCATTTGTCCAAACAGTTTCCCAATAAAGCAAGCACAGCAACAGTGTTAGCCAATGAAAATGCACCGAAAGCGGGTATAAACCCTATATAAAGAGGAATCTTTGGTTGGATCCTCCAGGAAGCTTCGAGTCAAGACCGAGATGGACAAAGAACTCTGCAGCTGAAGAAGAGCCGGAGACACAGAGACGAAGACTGTCCTATTCACGGGGACCAACCCATCAGCCCCGCAACATGTGGCTTCAAATCGGACTTCTCTCATCGGCTGGTTTCAGACCCCAAAGGCAAAGATGAAGACAAAGATGAAGATCAAGACAAAGATAAAGACCCAAGTCCTGTGTGACCTCACCATGGATGCAGAGACTAAAGCTCATCAGACCAACAGAGATCCCTGCCTTCATCAATCAACCTCCTCTTCCTCCTGCTACAACACCTTCTTCATCATCGATCCAGTTCTGGGGTTCGAGACACTAAACTCCGTCCGTCTCTCTAAAGATTCCCTTTTTAGTTCTTAGTATCAGCGTTAGGGAAAGACAGGCTAGATGATTGATTTGACTTATTTGATTATTAGCTGTACTGACCCTTGCAAAATTGCTTTACTAATAAAATATTTAGCATAAAGAAAATCTAAAAGATGTTGTGGACATTCAATTAATGAGTCGCCTCAAACTTCTTTGATGGTAGTAAAATAGCTGTGATGTTTGATTCTGGGGAAGAAAACTAGGTAATATTTTATAGGTTTAAAATTTAAAAATTTAAATTTAAAACAACATCCTTGGGACTCGCCAGAGTCACTAAAACCAACCTGATTCAGTAACAAGTGCAAGTTGCAAAAAAGAGAAGGAGCGACCGTTAACAGATGTGCTCTGTGAAACTAGTTATCTGTATGTTGCTCAGTCTGGCTAATTCACAGGGGGAAGAAGGGTGAGACATCTGGATGTAGGCCGTAGAAATCAGGCGAATCCTTTCTAGAAACCAGCTTAAACAGAGTTTACTTCAGTTCTGGATCGGGTAAATCCAGCAGATTTAGGAAACTCAATTCACCCGTTAGATGGAGAGCTGGTAGGACATCTCCCCTCTCAGAAGAGGAAGTAGTGACTGAGAGAGGAGAGAGTGAAGTAACGACAGTCCTTGTGATTAGGGATCCTGAAAACAATAAAAAGAGAGGAGCAGACAAATGTGTTTTCAGAGCGGCAGGAGATTGTAAACTGATAGCACATCTCTGTCTGTTCTCCTCGCGAGTAAGAAAGAATCTAACTCTCTTGTCTTTCCTGTGTTTGTTTAATCTGTGTTTAATAGGTGACAATTAGTTTCTACAAAAGTCGGCAGTCTGCATGCGACACGGACAGGAAGTGACACGGACAGGAAGTGACACTAGCTCCAAGTCGCCACATGATTAACACACCATTTATAAGTGATCAAGTCAAACATTGGCACTTTGACAGAAAATTAAACCGATTAACTGCTGAGGTTCCTTCTTCCATACAGTTAGCTTAGCTTAGCAAACCCTTGAAACGGTAGCAGAGTCAGAGACAATAGAACTGAATTTAGCATTATGTTAAGACAAAACAGAAATTACTCAACTTTGTTTCTTATCTTTGTCCATGGCTAACATTTTCCACTTTTCATGCTAAGCTAGACGAACTTTCCATTCCCGTCATTTTGCTAAGCTAAGCTAGCACTTTCACTTTGCTTCCAGTTTTGATACTGAGCTAGCATAACACTTTCAATGACAATCACTTTGTGAAGATGGAAAAACACTTAATTCTTAGTTTTTATGCTAAGCTATGGTAATACCTTAATCTCCTGTATTTATGCTAAGCTAACCCTTTCTGTCTTTTCAGTCTTTTTGCTAAATTCAACAAACACATTCTCTCTGTTCACTATTCTTGTGCTAAACTATGCTAATGCTTTCCTATTTTTACTGTGCTTATGCTAACTCAGTCCTAACCATAGCATTTACCAACATTTCTTGTGTTTAGCTACATTAGCCTAACATCCATTTTCACCAGTCAATATGCTAGGCTAGCAAAGGCTAGGCTAGCATGTTTCCAATGTTTTGGATTATTTAGTTAAACTGGGAATATTCCTGGTGGTTCGTGGCTGATGGGCTGAACAGAATTACATCTTTACACACAGATTGATGCACAGCATGTCATTAGCAACATGCTAACAGGAGTTTCCAGCCCGTCCCTCTCTGGCTGTGAGGATGAAACTTCTGGTCCGTCTCTCTTGTGGCCAAGAAAGTGATGCTGGTGCTCAAAAGAGGAGGGGCCTTTACGGCCGCCGCCAATCAGGAATCAGCTGAGGTTCAGGTCTGGAGGTTCTGTGGCTTTGCCGCTCCGGTGTCCTTGTTGCCATGGCAGCGGCCTTCATCGTCATCATGGCAGCCTGCGTGCGGCGATCGCCTCCCTCACCTCATGACAGATGCACTGGCAGAATCCGTAGAGAACGAGCAGCAGCAG